ATTCCAAAGAATTAACATCGTGCCACTGTTCTTGGAAGTCTTCAAATAAATCTCAACGTAGCCCTATGTAAAATGATGCAATATTTTTTTTTATCTAATTAGGATGTTTTACTTATATCTTTATATTAACATGCTTAAATAAAATTGTGTATCTCTCTAAACTTTTTCAATTTCTAAACTATGCTCCAAAAGACATGTGAATGACAAGATGTTCTATAGTAGGGGCTTACCATATTGTTATGTTGTGCTATGCAATTTTGCCTGTAACACTGTGTGTGTGTGTGTGTGTGTGTGTGTGTGTGTGTGTGTGTGTGGTGGGAGGGGGAGGAGGGCTCTTGAAGCCTTTTCATATATACAAGTAGGCTATGTAAGGCTCTGGTGGGATGGGAGAAAAGAAAAGGCTTACACTTTGTTAAGTTCCCTACAAAAGTTGAAAATGTCCTTTGGGGAGGGAACCCCCCTTCCGTAGCACTGATTACCATCGAAGAAAGGTAGGGCCTACTACTTACCATCAATTTCTGAGCATTTTATATTATCATAATCTAAACAGCCCCATGTTTTCTATAGACGTAAATATTAACAAGGAAAAAGAAACCCTTAGACCGTGTAGGCCATAATGTCATAGGCATGCTACTGTCATTACTGATTTCCTCTTCAATGATAGGGCCTATACTTATCACTACCGAAAAAATTATTTCTAATTTTATAAAAGCGTCAGTGTAGCAAGTAGACATCTTCTATCCATTTAAAGCCAAATTAATCGGATGAAATAATATTTGTCACTTGAGAAAGGAAAAACCGGGGACAGGGCGTTGGCATAGGCCTGCGCCCACTGGATCTCTTTGTGGATATTCCTGTTGTTTTAAAATGCACAGCATGTCACAGTGGCACTGCTAGAGGCACTGAGCTTTCCGTTCTTCTATGACCGGGGCGTTTTTTTTTTTTTTTTTTTTTTTTTTTTTTTTATGGAATCTGTTCGTGCGGTGGCTGTTTCAGCGACATTTGAACTGGTTGTTTTCGTAGAATCTACATTTTAATATAAATAATGCCCCGGTGATAGGCCTATCGTGTGTCATCGTACATGAGGTACATGTATATATTGTTATTCGATAAACACCGGCAGGGATATTTACGTTTTGGATATTTCGCGGATAAGGAGGCAGGGGCGGTGAAAGTTTTTTCATCGGAAAACAGGGGATAAGGGAACTTGGGATCACACACGCACACATGCGCGCCTGCACGCACACTCACACACACACATATACTCACAAATCTCTAATATCCAACATGGTAGATCAGACCTCCCTCTCCACGGACTAATATATCTTTTCAATCAATCAAACTCCCACATTCTTGGATATGTTGGAAAGGATAAAATGCTGTCATTCGCTACTATAGTCCCATTGTATTCAGGACAAGCCACATTATATCCCAAGAGAGAACGGATATCGGCATATAATTTTATCGAGATTCTATCAAATCAAATTATACATGGAAACAGATAATGGACTAACAAGCTCGACTTTGTTGGTATTTAAACATCAAATCAAATAAATGTTGCTCACTCTTCAAGTAACCCATTTCATTTGCTTTTCTGGTTGTGCACAATAAACAAATGGTTATCATGATTGCACCTATTTTACAACCCTCGATCCACCTCCTCCCGCCATCGCCAGCGCAACACCCACACATGTATAATATGTGAACAAACCCCTACTCCAAAAGCCGGGGGGATAAATTTCGAGCAGCTATTGAGACAGTTCGCGCGGCGCTTTAAAAGAGGATCAAAGCTATTCAAACAAAGATTTGACTAGATAATCAGTGAATACGCTGTTTGTTACTTCATCAGTGTAAACGCCGCGTATACATAGTGTAATCGCAGTACAAGACCGGTAACACCGAGTCCATTGATAGAAGTATTACAAACATGTAGGTCTGTGCTGCGTATAGATGCACTGGTACATATACATATACATATATATACACCACACGATGGACGCACCTGAGAAGATCACGACTGTAAAAAAAGCCGAACTTCTGGAAATGCCAACTTCTTGTGTATACACAGGTGAGTACTAGTTGGCTCTATTGAATAAGTGTCGTTTTTCATTATATATTCTGGTCAAACTGGGCTAAAAATTCGGTTCTAGGCCCTGTACTAGTACTGTTAATGAGGGTACCTTGCGTCTTTTTAGGGTCATTTTCTGAGTAATACATGTACATATATAATGTTGCCTGCCATACTCAGTTTGATCATAGGTTTAAACACAGTTATGTTCGTATATCAAAATAGACCGACTTTTATCATTGTAAACCAGTATTAAATTTTGAATGTCATCAGTCATCAGAAAACACCTAAGTTCGAAAATGCACAAGCTGATCTATAATGGCAAGAGATGAAACTGGAAATAAAAATGATAAGAAAATATGTTTAGGTACATTGTTTCAAATGAATTAATAGGGTGAAGCTGGCATTAAGGTAAAAGTACCATAGTGTACTTTCTATGGGGTTTTCCAAGGCAAAAAGTCGAGCTTTACACAAATCATTGTTTATGGGAGTTGGTAACTACGGTACAATTCGTTAAATCGTTGGCAGTTACGGGGTAAGAACGAAAGACAATAAGAAGATGCTAGGGGATGAACTAGAACACCATACAAAAAATTTATCATCTGTGTATGAATTCCCCATAGCTTTTAGTTAAGAAGGGTTCTTTTTTGTCTATCTCACTTATTCGACAATCATTCGGAATCATTTAGAAAAAATGTTGAGAGAAGGCAGCGCACTGCCCCCCCCCCCCCCCCCCTCCAGCACACTTACACAAACACATACATAAAAAAGAGCTAAGGCTGATTTTTGGTGTATCGCCTATTAATTGCGTGTATCGCCTATTAATTGCCTGAAATCCATACATTAGATATAGGCGCACATAATTCTTTTATTTATACATATTAAGGGTTTTTTTAAGTGTTAAATATTTTTCGTCTTATTCTTTTTCACGTTTACAGCATATTTCGAGAGAACAGCTTTTGCTAACACTTATACATTACACTGTAAAAAATTGCAAAAAAAAAAAAGACCTCGGAACATAATAAAATAACACATTTAATCTTATCAACTCAGTAGTAAGATTATTTAGGCATGTGTAAGTTATCAGTTCTATCCCATTTTGTTATCGTCATTGCATTGCGCCCGAACAGTTGTACCGGTGAGATTGTGTTAGGAGTGACTGGTTGAGACCACGTTAATTGTGATTTTGTGTGCAGACACCGAACCCTGAACAGACAATAAATATATCATATGCGGGCGTGTAAATAATCCCCATAAATGGGCTACATTTACCCACATTCATAGGCTGTATAAAAGCAATTGGCTTCCAGTGACTTGTTATGTGGCTTGTGTATCACGGAAAACTTATATATTTCTTTCAACTGTCTTTGAACGGCAACAATCTGAAAATCACAACCAGTGAACCAGATAAAGTAAAGAAAGAAAAAATATGTTAATAATATGCCAATGTATCTATTTCAATGCATTCCAGTTTTTATATACAGGCGCTTAGAATAAGACTTTTTCACCTATGAAAAGTTATACTTTTGACACATATGAAAACGTATTCTTCTGAACAAAACCATTTCGTGTGAGCTATATGTAGAACTAAGATGGTATGCTGAGTTCTTATGGGTTGGCCTTACTAGACATCGGTTGCTGAAAAAAGGATACACAAAACAAAAGGTACTGACCACAAAATTCGCTTTCATTTTACGAAGTTGTAATCTTTCATTTACTGTAGTAACGCCAGGCTAACTTTGATATGATAAAAACTACACGTATTAAGACACGGATGTACAATGCTTAACCAAACATAAAGGTTAAGTGGGTAAATTATTTGTGCTCAAAGTAATGGGTTTCTGTAATTTTAATCCACATTTGTAACTATGAGACACCTTTCTAAACAAGTGGACTGTGAAAACAGATGAGAAACAAGGCCACGCAGGGGATTCTAATGACAAAATCAGTTGAAATCCGGTTGACCGAAATTTAAGCAATTATAAAGAAAAAAATCAAGGAATAGCAAAAAAAATTAATCAAAATATTTTTGCATGTTGTCCGCCAACATAACGCCTACATTATCTTCATGCAAGGCAGTGTTTGGATTTAAGATTGCTTTGAAAGAAAATCAAAATGCATAACATTCTTGTCCAAAAATTAAAATAGATAAAAAATAGACAGACAGATACAAAGGTGATCAATTAAAGATTACAAAAAAAGACATAATTTTTTTCGATGTAAATAAGAAAATTTTGCGTGGGTTAAAAAAACAAAGAACTTATTATGAATTATGCGTGCTATAATCAATATTAAGTAATGAAAGAGTGGGAGTTGAGACGGGGGTGGAAGATAGAAATCGTCTTTACCTTCACATCATTTGATTAGCATCAAACAGCAATCAAGTCTAATAGTTACATATCGCATAAAGGTAAACTTAATTAGTTAGCAATTGAATCATCCAAGAGATGTGATAAATTCTCTAATGAAGTAGAAAAAATTAATGTTTTTATCGTGTATTAGGGTGATTCAATTACATGTCTCCATTGGTCACACAGATATGAGTAATGGAGCAAAGGAAGAAATGGCAAATAGCATGCGACACTGCGTAAACCATTAAATCTGTTTATTCTGCAACAGGTTGCATACCGTGACGAAATAAACCAGCTATCCCGATGCGCGCTAGAGCATGGTGGTGCTGCTCTTCCTCGCTCGCTCGGTCTCCGGTGGAATTTTCTCCTGCAAGATGATCTCGTGGAGAAATGCTGAGTAGAGAAAGAGAGATACTATTAACCGGGTTAACAGGGTCTCATCAATCACCGCGGCAATCTTATATACAACACCGCTACTACTTCCCCCCACAGCACCGTCAAAAGACAGGGACCACCGAGAGCACACAATGTAAATGGTTCATCACTCGGGAGATCAAACGCCGTTCAGGTAACCCAAGTTTTCATTCCTCAGCGTGGCGTAATGTACTGGTTCGGAGATTTAAGGCCTGTAATTAGAAAACAGGTAGGCACCGATGTGGCCGCGTGCTCCGTCGGTTTAGATCCCCAGTGGGCAAAAGCCCCCTCTACAGTGCATATTTAGTTACCTGTAGCGTCTGCCTTCTGCCCGACTGGTCAGACAGGGGCAATGAGGAAATTCTATTAAGAGAGGCGGGGACTCTTTTTACAAATTAAGGCATACTTACAAGGCGTTTGGTTAGATTCAATTATACGGCTTCAGTAAATTCCGTTTTACTCATATTGACACATTGTTGGATTCAATTCAATGGTGACAATTTGTGCACACAGGTAGAATAGTAAATTGGTTTTGAATTAATCACTATCTCTAACAAAAGACCACATATCTAACTTTCCTATATTACATATCTTTCCGCACGCCATTTAAAGAGAACGTTACAGAGCATCAAAGTGTAGGCAGGTTATTCGACAAAAGGCTTGAGGTAAGGTAGTGCACGTTTAGAAGGATGATATACGGGGAGGTTTCATTTGGGGTTAAATGGTTATAAAATTGAAGCAGTTGTTGTTAATTTCTGCCGACAATGGGCTGTAAAACTTTCGGACAGGAAGTCTTTTGCAGATCCAATCAAGATAGAGCGGGGATACAATTAGTTTAGAGGAACGATATTTGAGTCACAAGACGGTAAGAGGCCATAAAACCCGAAGTTGAGAACTTTCGAAAATCGCTACAAGATTTCGCGGCACCTCGTAGGCGGGGCTTTCTTGCAGATTGAATCAAAAGTGTGACGTTGTATTCATGCAATTCCGGTGTCTGGTGTCCGCTCTTTGAGGTGGATAATTACGTTTGTTAGGACACCATATCTTACCTTTTTAATAAAACAACGATCAGCTTTGCTATTCACTATCCTATTTGTTTTTAACAGGATTACAAGGACGTTCAGCGGGGGACCTACAAACACCGGCATTGATACCCCAGTACTTTAAGTGATTCTAAATGGCATTAAGAGGCACAAATGCGGACCGGGTAGAATCCAATGTATTTCAATGCATACTTAATAATCATTGGTTCGAGCCGAGGCTGTCAAGCGGACATAGCCTATTATATTCGTACAATTTATAGTGTGTCATCTCCTGGCTTAGCCAATAAACCCCTCAGCTGATTGACGCACCACCGGGGACCTTTTGAAGAAAAAAATGATAGACAGACAAAGTGCGAAAAAAGGACATTAAGCTAAAGACCCCGGTGTTAGATCAACGCTTGTCGATCCATGGTGACTAAACGCGACCACATTGGAGTTCACAAGGCGAAGAGACGTTTTACAAGAATATACCTTCTTACTCGCTGCTAGAAGTATTATCAGCGAAAGGAAAGTCTACAGGCACTAGGAGATTATTTTTCGGTGGATTATATGTTCATGTATATATATCCAGCATTTTTCTTAATATTATCTTAAATTGTTCTGACTCTTTTGAGAGGACATACGGCCAGGTTTAAAAAACAGTTGCATCATGAAGCTGAATAACTTGTTAGTTTTTCTCTGTTTTCTGATGGCACACATGTCAGCGACCAAGAAAAGCCGGCTATTAAGAGGAGTACGATGGTGGTAAGTTATTAATTTTTTTTAATATAAATTGGTAATTTTGTCACTGTTATTTTTTGGCTTTATTTTTTATTAATATTATTATTATTATTATTATTATTTTAATGCTTTACATTCAATACACACGAAAAAAAATAATTCACTGAAGTTCTATATTTCCAGTTTGATAATACGTATTATGTGAAATATTTTCCTCGTGTCTCAGCGCGCCAAAGTCTACATGGGCAGTGGCGTAGAACGAAGCTTGGTACATTTAGATATCTTTTTGTCCTTCTTTTAAATCGAACACCCTGATCATGGGCTCAAATCTCGGCGTGGAGAAGGCTTTCAATTTGAAGGTGTATTGTTCCGTTTTGGCACTTCCATATCATGTTATCCTGATTTTCCCCTGTTTATTTAAGAACTTGTATGAACGCAGTTCTACATGTCGGGTTCAATTTAACGACCGAATTGGAAGATTCATGGTGTGAAGAAAAAAGTTGTCCTGTTTGTTTTTCTCTTCCTTTTTAAGGCGATACTTAGTTGTGGTATCGAATCGCTTGCCGACCATAAATGCGCGTGAACTGTCGCACCGCATGGATTTGCTACATTCCAAAGCCTAGAATGCTTTTGTCATTTTATTTAATATTTTCCGTTTGTGTAGTAAAGTTACAGAAAGTAAATAATCGCCGACATTGTACACACTTGGTTGACTAACTTAAGAAAATATTTTGCCCATTCAGGCACTAAGTCAAGAAACTTTCGCGTTTTTCATTTCTCAGGCTTATCAATAATAAGGTGTTGTGAACATTTTGGATACTTGCGGTCAAAGATTTCACCTACCGCAAACGAAAGGTTTTCATAACTCCTGAAAAGACCGGAAAGATAAACAAATATTGCATTCATATTTCTGTCCTTGCGTGTAAGCCGGCCTGAATGAGCGTTAGTTATCTATTTACTAACATACACTAAATTAGTTTTCTAAAGGAAAGTAAACGTCTTCAAGATTGATATTATAACAAAACAGAATAGTACGTCAGGAAACGTAAGTCGACATGAAAAAACGTGCGATTCTTGGCCCATGTCCCCATCTACCGGTGGATGTCCTACATATGTCAGATTCTGCGGTTTGTGCTTATTTATCTGTTTACTCAAAGTTGCTACCTCTTACCCATGGAAAATATATATGCGCTCATTAAAATGCAAAGTTTCAAGCCAGGTAGTTTAATCTGAAACACCGCAATTTTTTTTTACCTGTACTCAGCAATAGTGGCTGTGTAAGTTAACCGCAAATGTACATGTGCTTTGGCATTTTCACGGGCCTTTGAATGGACAACATTCTTCTATTTTGTAGTCTGGCAAATATTTTGAATCATAAGTTTTGTTTAAATTTAAATAAAAAATTGTGTTGCATTATTTATCGACTAAATTTAAAATAAATAAATAAATAAATAAATAAAAGACTCTTGATAAATAAAGATTTTGTCTAATTCAGACTCCGTACTTTACCGGTCAGTTATGATTTCACCCTTACGACGGTTAAAATACGTAAATCAGCCTAAAACGGACTGATAAGCTTCAAGGCTATTCGTGCATTTCATAAATGATATTGTGAACTTACAATATCCCTTTCGATCAAAGAAGAAAGTCAATTGGATAGTCACCCAAAATCCGAGCATTGTTTCCTGACCTGTAAGAAGAAAAAAAGAGCCCTTCCTTTACTTGTCCCAACAAAGCTTTGATCAGGGAGGCGTCTATTGAAGTGGTGAAACGCATTTTCATGAAGAAAAACCCAGGAACAATATTTATCTGAAATATGTCGCATGTAAGAACCCGTCTTTACATGCCAAGTGGCCCGTGCTACGGAGAGGTTTGATTCAGATTCTATTTCAAAAGCAGGTCCGCGCAACCCCCCTCAGTACATATTTGATTTGTGTTTGCTCACAGTCAATAGAGTTATGCACGCTAAAAAACTCTGTGTAATATAATCACACTTTCATGTTTTTATACACTATCACATCCGTAACAATGCTAACACCGGAAATTCAGTAAATGCCGCTGCTTTCTTAGATTTTCTACCCCACGCAGCAACAATCCGGGTTTCCATTTTCAATGATCTTTAATTTATCTCATGTGCCAAACTAGCTTATAACTATATTTCACGTTATCTAAAGGGTTATCTTTAAATTCAAACTTGATTTAAAAAGGCATGCGACAAACCTCGGACAAAGATATATATACAAACTGGGAAATCATTTGAATGTTACTGACAAAGGCGGTTTTGTTCAGAATCTTCTTTCTGTAACCTTATGATCTGTGCTTTGCGGTACTCTATAACCGAATCTAGTTAATGACTCAGAGCTTATTATTTTTTCATTTGATTATAATCTATCCATTTTTCTTTACATCTACATCTATCTATTTAATTTGTCGACGATACGCATTTCTAGTGAATTGCTTTATTTGCTTGTTTGATACGATCAGTTTAACCCTTCCTTCATAGATCTGCAGAAATGATAATCCAAGATCACAAATGTTCTCATTTGCGAACACAATCTCTCAAACGCAAGAGACTTAATATATACAAATAACTCTTATACATATGCTAACTATCTTGGTTTGTGATAGAAGACAAACTGGTGCATCATTTTCATTTTTCTCAAGTCAGGTATTCCTGTAATTCTTTCTTATTTGTATGTAAACTTTCCAACATGGCTGAAATGAAGATGCAACTATGCTAGTTATTCAAATAGATTAACCGGGCACCCGATTTTTCTCTTTATATTTATGTATGTGTTTGCTAGCAGCTTATTTGCTTACTAATAAGATGTATTTTTGGCAAAGACCGTTTATCATATGAGTATTATATGTAAGGCATTCTTGTTTCACACACACACACACACACACACACACACACACCGAGAGAGAGAGA